CACCACCCGGTTCATTTGCGCGGCGAGGGAGGCAGCGCGAGGCAAGGGAGAGCACCTCCTCGTCGGGCGAGGGACGGGCTTGGAGCGAGGCGAGCGACAGCGGCAGCTCTCCCCCCCCCCTTTCCCCTTTGCTCCCCGCAAGCGAGCCAACTCCGCCCTGAAGCTGGTGGGCTTGGAGCGAGCCAGCGAGCGAAGAGCGACGGCTGCAGTGTAGGAGCGGCGCGAGGACGAGGGCGCGAGGCAGGCGACGAGGGGGACCGGCCAGCCCGCTGCTTCTGCCCGGGGATACTCGCGAGGGGCTGCCTGGGAACCCTTTCGCCTCCCCCCCCCCATTTCGTTTTGGAGCCTGGCGGGGGCTGCGCGCGCGCGCCTCGCTGTCCTTTGATTGTTGCCAGGAGCTGCGGCACGGGAATAATGTGGAACGTGTGGATGCTGCTGGCTTTCGCCTTGATAGCCTGTGTCTCCGGGGAGACGGTAAGAGTGGGTGGCTTTGGGGTTGCTTGGGGGAGGCAGGGGGGAGAGATGGCCGGTGGGACGCCTCGGGGAGCTCGCCTCTGAATTCCGGGAGCAATCCTCTCCTCTCCCCCCGCCCTGCCTGCCATCCAAGCCCTGCAGCAATCTCCGATGGCACCCCTGCAATGTGCTCAACAGATGCAGCGCACCCCCCCCCCCCCCGCAAACTTGCCGGGCCGGGCCGTGCACATCCCTTCCCGACGCCTGGAAGAAGTTCGCGGTACTTTTCCAGCGCGCGAGAATCCCCTTTGCCAACTTAAATGTCTAGCAGTGCGCGACGAGGATCGTCACGTCAATGAGGGTCCCGGCTGCGTTCTTTTTGCAGAGGGGGGTCTCACAAAGGGCGCTGCCTTTCCCAGCTTTTGGGGGGGGGGGAGAGAAGGATAAGACACCCCCGCGATTCCCACATCTGCTGCGCAGAAGTCTGCTGAGGTCACTGGCAAAGATCAAAACTTTGAAAGCAGAAGGGGCGCTTTACCGTTTCAGCTTCATGTAGCGGTATGCGAAACGGAAAGGCCCGGCGTGGGGGGGGGGCGCATGGAGTATTCCTTCGTATTTTATGGGGGCAGTGATTTCTCCCCTCCCCCGGGATCAAGGCCAGCCTTTTGCCGACAGTGGCATCGGACAATCTCTCGCCTTCTCCTGCCTTTGAGGCTTTGCATCTAAAGTTCTCTAAAAGTGTCTGAAAGTTAGCACTGAGATTGCATCCTACTTAATGGGGGGGGGGGGAGATCTAAAAGCCAACTGCAAAAACAAAACTTTAGAAAGTGAGTGTGTGAGGAGGAGTTTCCCGGGTGTGTTCCTTTAATGCAGGAGAAAAGTTGAATAGTGTGTTCTGAAAGGAGTCTGATGTTGCTTCAACTTGTAACTTCCTAGGAGGACTGGAGGAGAACATGATATGATGGAGATTCCCAATGTGCTCATTCTTAGGTGGGGAGGATTCGGTATGAACCTTTGTGTTCAGTTTGACAGATCAGAATTGGATTACAGGCAGAAACTAATGCACCCCCTCCCCACACACCTGTACACATGAGGGAGATTGAGAGTTAATCATTTCCCCCTTGTGATTTCAGGTAGGCTTGTTGGCCTTATGGGAACACTGGGTGGCACAGATCGTCAGAAAAGTTACTTTCCCTCTTGGGAATTCATTTGGCAGTTGACTAATGGGCTTTTTTTAAACTTTAGAAACTGAGAAGAGTTTCCTCTGGGCGGTAACTATGGTGCTTACCCATGGTGGTGGAGCTCATTTGGTCTTTTGGTTTTAGTTGCCTTATAGCCTTCTGTCTGGCATGTAGTGTCAGTCCAGTGTACATTTCTGCCTTTAAAAGCCAATGCTTTTTCTGCTGTCTGTGCTTTAAAAAGTCCCCTCTCGTGCCCCTGCAGAGGGTTGGTGGGGGTGTCTCTTGGCAAAATAGCTCAAATCTCTGCTGGTTTCTGTTGCTGAACATGCTCACAGGAGAATTGTGCTGTTCAGCTGCAGATCTTGTGCAGCGTTTATTGTGGCTCCCCTCTCGCCTATTGCTGTAGCAGATCTGTAAATTATTTGTGGAAAAGCAAAACCCAGTTGCGCTACTTACAGCTGAATTACCTCCTCCTTTCTTTTAAGGGAGTTGTTCGAGGTTAAAGAGTGGTTCATTCATAACTTGTTGCGTCTGTGAAATTTGCAACCAACATGAGCTGCTGCCTGATGGAGATTGTTTGCATCCTCTCTTCTGTAGGAAGTCTTCCCTATGTATAACAAGGACATCAGAACTACTGAATAATAATGGCTGAAATATGAGAGTACTTTGGAGCGGAGGGGGGGTGTCATACAACAGCACATATGCCCCACTCCCGGTGGCTTTTGATGTGGCTTTAATTTTTCCTCTGTTCATTGAGGACTTGGTTGGTTGGTTTTCTAATTTGGGGGCATTGGGGGGGGGTGTCAAAAGAAGAAGGGGCTTCCTGTCTCTGTTTGGCTTAGAATCCTTGAGAGAAACATTCCAAGCAATCTTGTATCTTAGTCACAGGGAGAAGGAAACACAACAGCTCCTCTGTGGTTGAAAGGATTAAAATACTGAATGTGATGCCCTTTTCCACTAATGTTTTTACAGACTTTGGGGATGCTTTCAGTTGTGGCTTTCATGATTTCCCAAAGTAGGCAGCCTTATCTTATGCTTGCTTACTCGGAAATAATTTCTGCTGAGTTCATTCCTTCCCAAGGAAGCATGCATAGGATTGTTGTCTGAGTGCAAACCTATGCATCAGTGCCCAGATCTAAGCTGAGACCAGCTGGAGAGATAACTGCATGAGCATAGGATTGCATTTAGGTCCCTGTCCATGAGAATGAGCCTTATCGAACTTTTGCGTAAGTGTGCCTAGGACAGGGCTGCATTCATATGTCGTTTGCAGTGCTGGGTCCACTGCTGTCCTAAGGAATTCTAGCCTGTTAACAGGGCAAACCTTTTAATGCTTGTTCACACCCTCTCTTCATAAAACGAGCATCGTAATAACTTTCGGCAGCTTCTGAAGCTTTCTCGCATTGATAGTCGTGAAAGTGTGTCGACGCTGTTCCGAGAACAATTGCTTCTGTACTTGTGGGTTAGGATTTATATTAGCAACGTGTTTAGAACGTCAAGATGCTTTGAAAGCTTAATTTTGCACTTAATGCAGCTGCTGCTGAGGCCATTATTCTGCCCTTCTCTGAAAGTGTAACCATCAAAGAGCCTTGGCAATTAGGAGTACTTTTGCTTTGTGACTGGTATAATGAATGATTGAGGTTAGGTGGTTGAATTGGCAATGCTCTTTCTTTTCTTTTTCTTTTCTTGTTTGGATGCAGTGACTAAAAAGGGGGGAAAAAAGAACAGATGGAAGAGCATTGTGTAGAATCAAAGCATGTTAAAGCAAATGACAAAACAGTCTTTGAAAATTCAGGGGCTGGCCGAACTGTACTGTCAGTAAACATACACTGAGAGAAATACTTCCACACAACTGCCTCTGCTATGTTGATTGAGATGGATTGGTAAACTCAAGCTTGTTGAACCAAAGGGAAGAAGGTATGAAGAAAGAGTGTGTTTCTCCCTGTGGGTGCCATCTTGGAGAGTCCTTTGGAGAACCATGGTCCTTATGTTACTTGTTTTAATGAACGTTGAATAAAGTTTGAATTCTTGTATGGCCTGTTGAAATCAAAGGGACTTCTCAGTAAACCCACTTGACTGTCGTCGTCCCCCTGTCAAATGTAAATTGGACAATTAAAAAAAACCTCAGGTAGGATCATGGCTCTTCCGTTTCTTATAACAAGTTCCATGTGAATGATTCCTTTGGGGCAAAGTCCAAAGACATTTTCTATGGATGATACATCAGAGATTATTTTAAGTGTGTAATCTTGCCTGAGCATCTCTGTAGTTGAAAGTATTGATTTTTGTTTCCAAATGTGTAAACAGATTATAATGCTCCAGTATTATTTGATCTTAAAATTTGTACTCTCTAAATTTGTCTGACTTGTGTAGCTCTTCCTTTTTTCTTTGTGGGATACAAAGTTCTAGCCAACTAGAAAAGAAGGGAGGATGTTTTTGGCTGCCCTCACAAGAGAAACGAGGAATTACAGACATTGTGGTATGTTAAATGAGAGCACTATACAAGCATGTGTTGCAAAGAAAATTATATCGGGATTACAGTAAATGCTGAAAGCCATCAATTTGAGGTGACACAGTTGTGGTACTTGGCATCTTACCCAGAAACTATATTTGGATGTCTTGAAAACATACCACGTTGCCACATCATTTGTTCCAGCTGCACTAGGATTCTAGCAGGTAATATGATGATACTGTTTCATCAGCCATAAATGCAGGGTAGGATGATGCAGCCATTCTGTTGATGGATGATGACAGTTGGATTTTTAAGAACCCACCCTGCCCATCCAGTGGAAGGAGTTGTGCGTCCCCTCTTTATTGGTGTGTCAAGACATGGTTACAAATTGTCTGGAATATGTTCAAATGGTGCAAAAAGTTTAAAAGTATGTATGTACATCCTTCAGAAAGCAATGTAGATGAATTCAAAGCACCGCCTGAAGGCTCATCTTGCAAGTATTTCTGAGGTTTAGAGTGGATCTGGAATGAATATCTTAGGGCCGAATTACATGCACATTATGTATTTGTTGATATTTGTTAATATCAAGGGGAGGGCAGTGTGGATGCAAATGTGTGGCTGCAAATGGCAAGGCACATGTGTATCTCAAAGTACATCTCAGATTAGGTTCAGTTTAATATATCATATTGGGCAAGAGAAGTTTCCTATTTTAAAATATTGGGGTGGGGGTAAAATGCTTAATACTGCTCTGGTTGGCAGAAGGATGGAGCTAAATCTCATAATGCTGAGAGTTTGTAAATACTTGGGAACAGACTGGGATGGTGCAGGAGAGTCTTCCACAGGAAGGGGGAGTTGGCAGAATTCATGAACAAATGAAGCAAAAGGCTTTTGTATGAGTTGGAGGGAGACTCAACCTCTCTGAGGGTTTGCTTGGCAAAGGGGGATTCAAATACTTTTGCAGCTCTGGAGATATTATCTAGTGTTCAAATCATTTCTTTTTTAAATCTCTCTATATTAAGATCTGACTTCAGGTGACAAAAAGGAGTGACTTCTGTGACATGTGCTCCTTGTCTCTTCTGAAGCTACTTTTGATTTAGGTTGGAAGATGCTTTAAGGCTACCATGCCAGATGCCAGCCATTTTGATGAAAGTTAGTATTCCTTTTGGTTGGAGGAGGGGAGTGTTTAGATCCTCTGGCTGATCTGATGACTCTATGCTTTATGAACAGAAATTGTTTGCTTTTGAATGTTCCTGTTTTTATGAAGTGTTGGCGTAAGTGTGTACTTGTAGTATTGAAGTACCTCCAGATGACATGCGGTGCTGAAGGAAGGATGCTAGATAGATGAACAGTGCAAATGGAAGTGTCCATTGGGAAAACTGAAAGCTAGAAAGGAG